AGCTAAAATAAATCTTTACCAAATGATACATTATAAATAGATTTCTGTTTATTATAAATTAAAAAACAAATCATTCTTTACTAGAGCCTTTAACATCTTTTTTTTCAACACAAATAAATAGTCGAATAAGAGATCAAGGTTCTCTAAAATGATTACTCAATCTAATTTAATGAAATTTAAATTCAATATGAAGATTTCTAATCAAATTCGTCTTTAAGTTATAATCTTTAAAACTAAAACTAGATTTTTCGTCAAACTTATAACAAGCTATTTATCTTGTGTAATTAATTCATCCAGACTTAAATTGTCTACCTCATGATTTTTAAACTTGAGAAACAAACAAATGATAATTTTGATTTTCAAATATTTGCATTCATAGCATAAAGAACTTATTCCAAATATAATATTAAAGTGATTATTATTCTTCATAAGTTTAGCTAGAATAACATTAAAATTTGTGATAATTTAATGCAATAAAAAGTTAAATTATTAATGGCTATTTCAAACCATTTTTAATAAATAAATAATACTATTATTAAAATGAAAAAGATGAATAAAAAGTTGAAATAATATGAATAAAAATAAATAACTTTTTTCCTCCCGCATTACTAGGAGAAGGAGATAAAGAAGGTACAGCAAAAAAAGTTAATAAATTTATTAATGTAGAGATTGTAAGGAAATGGTAGATCTGAGGTTTTTTTTCAAAGAATAAAAAAAAAATTCTTAAGATTCCATCTACTCTGAAAAGAAAGAACTCTGTGGGTTTCAAGAATCAGAGAATAAATAAAAATGAAACTCGACCTTTTCAGGGCTTAAAAGTATTAGGGACTAAATATCTTGGATAAGGGGTATACGAATGAGGAGAAAACAAAAGAAGAATTGTAGTTATTATGACGATTGACTTCTTAAAATCAAGTGAGATATCCTTTTAGTGACAATAAATGATGTCATAACTGGGCTAATGTATGTGAGATAGTAGAGTAGGAAAACTAATCTGGAGATCAATTTATGGGATTTTAATGTAAACCTTAAAAGCAAGTTACCAATAATGATTTCAATTAATACCGTCAATAAAAAAATTGTTATGAGTTTCAAACTTAAGAATACTCCAATGATTCAAACTTATAATCAAGGCTTAAAATCATAAGAGGCTCAGAAAGCTTGGTATAAATGGTACTTCTTACAGCTAAAGGTGATATTGTTATTATTATTTGAGGAAAAATTTGATAATAAATGTTCACAATGAGAAAGTGAAAGAGTAATGAAGGTTTATGAAGGAAATATATTAACTCTGATTTAAGAATTTGAACAATAATTGTAAAAACAATGAAGGATGTAGCCTTATTATCAAGGGAGTTCCTACTGTAAATCTCTTAGGGTTTTTAAACCTTCTCTAATTAGAATTTTCTGGATCTAAAAAAGTTTCTCTCCAATCAAATACAAATATGAATAAAATTTAATAAATTTAGAAATATTAATTTTTCATTTAAATACTTAATTTAATATCTCTACTTTACATCTACTATGTAAATGTACACATGGATACAAATCTTTGGATGTATCAATATTGAGAGTCTAATAATAATAAATAGAAATTGATACAAATGATTGATTTGTGGATTACTTTGTCCATTTCACGTACTTCTTTTGAATATCCACTTCAACAATTATAATATCATTTGTTAAAAATGGAAATGCTATTTATTTATTATTTTTATCTTATTAATCATGATTATAACAATAACCATTTATATGAATATTATATGTTCTATTTTGATTCTATTAATATCATAAATATACCCTTATCCAATATCATAACAATTAATATAATTCCTACTCTACACAATATCCCTAAAACCAATTCCTATCATAATGCTAGATATTTCAATAATTTTAATAGCAAATTAGATCAGACCATTCTTAGGGATCATTTAATCACACATACAACATTACCAATTTCCATAACTTGTTTCAATAACTTTTCCATTTTAAGTAATTGAACAATTACTATTCTTATAAATTGTTGAGAATGTCAGTGATTAAGAGAATTACCAATCCTACTTTTAATAAAAGATTTACTTATACCATAGTTTATTTTAATTATTTCAACATTTCCTCATTCTTCTCATTTTACTTTTAGCACATCTATAATTCTCCTTCCTTCTCTTTAACTATAATTTCA